GTTAGCCATACATGCCATGTCCTGGCCAGAACCCCTCTGCTGTGCTGTTACCAAGTAAGACTTCAGAAGTGGGCAGACCCAGCCTGCCCCTCAGCCACAGGCGCAGAGGTGTAGACTGGGGGTGGGGGGGGACTCCTTTTAATACAGATATTCAGTTGTCCTGTGTTAGCCCTGCCTTCTACCCTTATTTCCAGACGCTGAGTGCCACTCATTCTCACTCCTGGGCTGTTAGAGGGTCAGCAGTCTAGAAGCTTCTTAGTTTCTTCCCCTCCCTGTCTGTCTTAATGCCACCAATTACTTCTTGCCCATCTATTCTAGCATCCAGCACTGTTGCTATTGTCTCCTGTCTCTCCTGGTCATTAAGAGTGCATTCCTTTTAACAAACCATTTTGCTTTCCTTTCAGTAAAGTTTTGACTGAAATCTTTTGTCTGTTATTCTTCTAAATTAACAGAGTCTCTTATTTTGATGACAGGAACTACTTCCAGCAGCAATACAATGGTAGCTCCCACGGATGGCACCTGCGATAGCAAGCCCTTGAAGGAGAGCCTGGAAGAGAAGTGCGTGCGCGTGTTCTTCATTATCCTTTCCTCTCGGACCACACTGCTCATCACCAGAATCCATGGTGGTTTCTAGCCGGCTGTGGCGATCCATGCCTGTAATCCCAGTATTTGGGAGGCTGAGGCAGGAGGATCACTGAATAGAGTTCAGCCTGGGTTACATAGCGAATTTAAGTCCAGCCTGAACTACATGGAGAGACCTTGATGACTCAAAAAGCAAATAATAGTACATAATTTCTGCCTTTGAATGGGCATTTCGTTGTGTTAAAATTCTAATAAAGGAATGGGTTACCATGTTGAAAAATATTTCACATTGACTATTTAAAAATTAAAAATATTGACAGGCTATGGGCTTTTTTTTTTTTTGCGGGGAGATATGAATATTCTTACGGATAAAAAGGCAAAGTGTGATTGATCACTTTTTGTGCTGCTTACATTTGGGGAATTTTCTAAATCAATATTTAGTCCAGGCATGGTGGCACACGCCTGTGGTCCTAGCACTCTGAAGGCTGAGGCAGAAGGGTCACCCAAGGCCAGCCTGAACTGCATACTGAAACTGTTTCTCAGAACACAAACAAACAAACGAGGGTATTTATTCAGCCTGTTTTATGTGAAACAAATTTCACTTCATTGCCTATTTAAGGGGAATCTTTAGATGCAAATGATTGACTAAAAGTTTAAACTTTTTAATTATAAGAAATTAATATGTATCATAGTAAACTTTTGGTGATATATTTTATGTAAAGTACACTTTTTTTGACCTAGAAAACAAAACACAAAGCACAGTTACCACATCAGTGTGAAGGGTGTTTAACCTCCTCGATCATCCCCACAGCTGTGTGCACCTGGACAGCTACAGTGGACTCAACAGCCATTTGAATCGTCAGCATCACAGACTAGAGTCTCGATACAGCAGCAGCTCCGGAGGCTCTTACGAAGAGGAAAAAAGTAATAAAGTCCAAGTGTTTCTCATAGACCTGTAATGATGAGGTGCTTTGTTAGTTATATTAAGGTCAATAAGTATATTTTTCCAATAAGTTGTTTTAAGAAAAGAATATGTAACTGCCACTAGAGGTGTTCCA